ATATTGCATTCCATTTTACAAGTAATTGAAAATAATACATTTTATTGTGCATATTCTTTTTCTATTGTAGGTACATCTTTCAGACTGAAATAAGTAGATTGTGTGCTTAACCTAAGTGTTGAATGAAATTGGTGTCTGATCTAACAGCCAGTCATTAGATTGACTCACATGCTTCTAAGTATTTCTGGGCTTTTACAGCAGTAGAATGTTTCAGCACAAGAATAAGACTTTAAGGTTGTGCTCAAGGTTTATTGCCATCTGCCACACATACTCATTCCACTGTTTCAATCCCTGTGCATTTAACATTCTGCTTTTAATAGCACATTTTGATACCTTTGTTTGAACAAGAGATATGATGAGCAATTCCACAAAAGACTTTGACTTTTTAGTAGGAAATATTGCCTATACCTAAGTTTCTGTTTATAAGTTATTGTCTCCAAAATAAAAAAGTAAATTTATTTTATGAAGCTCTTTAAACTATTTGAATATGTTAGGCAGTTTATAAGTGTAAAATAAATGTAAAATGTAACTGTTTCCTATCGGATGCAGACACACCCATCAGTGCGATCCTGTTAGTTTGGACCAGCATGGAGACTGTCGTGATCTTTGTTGGCCTGAGTGCTAAATATCATAAAATTGAGTAAATATTACCAGAAAAACCCTTGCATTTATATTGTATCATTCTTGATGACCGATAGTATCAAAGCACTCTGCAACTAATTATTTACTATAAGTGTAATACCTGTTTGTCATGTAGGACATGTAGCAGCCATTTTTAACATAGTCGTAGAGATCAACAGTACAGTAAAAGGCCTTTCAGTGAATCAAGTGTGCACCATTCAAAAACAAACAACTAACTATTCTAACAGTGTGGAGTTGGAGGAACACTGCAGGCCAGGCAGCATCTGAGGAGCATGTCCTTTTTCAATCTATCTTCTCCCACCTTAAAAAAAATGTCCCCAATCTTGAAATCCTTAATTAATATCCTTCCTATAACAGTGACCTGGTCTGGCCTTAGTACTCCAGAAAAAGCTTTGCAAACATCTTATACAACCTCAACATAACGTCCCAATTCCTATAGCCAAATATCTAAGCAATGAGTGCAAGCATACTAAACGCTGCCTTAACCACGCTATCGGTATGTGATGTGAGCTTCAAAGAACTATTTACTTCAACCCCTAGACATCTCTGTTCTACAACACAACCCACAGCCCTACTTTTAATTGTATAAGTCCTGCCATGTTTGTTTTACCAAAATGCAATACCTCGCATTTATCCAAATTAAATTCCATCTGCCACTCTTCAGCCCATTGACCCAATTGATCAAGATCTCTTTCTAATCTTAGTGGACAGTGAAGAAGAGCATCTATGTCACCAATTTTGGTGTCATCCACAAACTTATGAACAAAGCTTCTGTATTCTCATCTAAATTTATATAAATGACAAGCAAAAGTGGTTTGAAGATTTGTAGCTCGGATACTAGTTGTAGATGTTGGTGTATTCGCTAAGTTGGGAGGTTTGAAGGCAGACGTTTCGTCCCCTTACCAGGTGGCATCCTCAGTGCTGTGGAGCCTCCTGTGAAGCGCTGTTGTCTTGTGCTGTTTCGAATTTATATGGTCTGGTTTTTGCTGCTTCCAGTAGGTGTCAGTTCCGGCTATGCGTTGTAATGGTCGGTATATTGGGTCTAATTCCACATGCTTGTTGATAGAGTCTGCAGATGAATGCCAAGCCTCCAAGAGTTACCTTGCTGTCCTCTATTTGGCTTGTCCAATGATAGTAGTGTTGTCCCAGTTGAAAGTGTGGCTTTTCTTGTCTGTGTGTATTGAAATGAAGGGCATGAAGTCGTCGTTTACTTGCAGATACACAAACTTACCAACAGAGGGAGTGGGACCCCACACCACAGCTAACAAACAGAATAACCAATACACTATGGAACCTACTCAAAACAAGACTGATAACAAAAACGGAATTACAAAGGACAAAACCAGAAGGCAACAACACTCGAAGATTCGACGGACTGCCCAAGGTCCACAAGCCTGACATACCCCTCAGACCAATTGTGGCTGTACCAGGAACCCCATCACATAAATTAGCAAAGGAGCTACAACAAAAGCTTAAAATCTAATCAGTAGTTCAAGACACTCCATACGATCAACACAAGAATTCCTGGACAACATCAAGAACACTAAATTAGACAAAGAAGTGGTGATAATCTCGTTTGATGTAACAGCATTGTTTACGTCAATTGACAGAAACCTAGCCGAAGAAACTATAGCCAACCTACTAGACGAACACAACAGATTACTATGAGAAACAGATCAACAAACACTGCATGCTCAAACTATTGGACTTATGCTTAACAACACACTTTACATTCAACAGCAAGATATATGAGCAGATCAACAGGACTCCCATGCTCACCCATCTCTGGACTGATAGCTGAGGCAGTCATGCAAAGACTGGAGCAAACAGCCCTCCCATAGATCCAACCCAAGCTCTGGATCAGATACGTGGACAACACTTTTTTGTAATTATGAAAAGAACAGAAATTGAGAACGCTCACCGACTCATCATACTCGGGGTTCAAATTTAAGGTTTTTGAGTAGATTTGTAGCTCGGGTTGTGGTTGGTTGGATCATTGTTCCGCAGACATTTCATTACCCTGCTGGGTAACATGATCAGTACAGCCTCCGATGAAGCGCCGTTGTGTTTTCCCACCTGGTTTTTAAACTCTAGAGTCCGTTGAGCTGGATTACCTCACTTCCAGTTTTCCTTCGTAGATTCTAAGTGGCACTCCATCAACAAACACATTGAATTAGACCCTGTGTACAAACCACTGAAAAACAGAACCGGAAGTGGTACCATACACCCCAAAAAACCGAGGCATATAAATAACACGTGGGACAGAGCCAATGCTTCACCAGAGGCGCACTGATGATACGTAGCAAGGTGACAAAATGTTTGCAACCAAACCCGCCAGCTCGGCGAGTATGTCTACAACCTCATCCACAACTCAAACTACGAATCTTCTCAAACTTTAAATGTATGGAATCTTTTTGAGTGGAGCTAAGAAACAGCAAGGCTACTAGACATTGGTAGGAGTTGTTTATAGGCCACCAAACAGTGATGGTATTGTGGGGCATGGCATTGATCAGGAGAAGAGAGAAGCATGTAGCATGGGCAACACTGTTATCATAGGTGACTGCAACTGGGTAAATTTAATAAGCACTAATGCTGAGGATGGGCTTCTAGAGTGTGCTAGAGATGGCTTCCTAGAGCAGCATGTTGAGGAACCAACTAGAGGATGGGCTATTTTACATCTAGTATTATGTAACTAACCAGGGCTAATTAGTAAGCATGCAAAAGAACTTTTAGGAATGAGTGACCACAATATCATTTAATATTACACTGAGAAAGTGAGCAATCCCACGTATCTGGCAGCAATTTTAAGACCTGACTTTGAAGGGGCATTCCATTTGCTGTGCTGATTCTGTTCTTAAACGCTAATCTCACAGGGTGTGTTCTCTAATGTGGTGTGACTTTGCAGTTTTCCCTCATGAGTCTTGCTTTAGCTTGTTTAGTGGTATGTCTAGATTCCATATTTGGAGCATTGATTGCAGGTGTGTACGTAAATGTTTTCATTTTCTGTAACTTTAACATCTAAACGGATATCTAATCTTGTTAAGCTGATTTAAATATTTATTGTGGTTTCTTGTTATGAACAAGGTCATAGTAGTCATTCTGCCTTGTCGTTTATAATGGACAAGAAACGTCAAAAAACAAATTGCATACACGATTTTAAAGGGTAGCTAGCAATTTTGAAATAGATCTTTGGTCATTTTATTAACCTCTTTTAGATATTTAAAAAGATGGTAATATTTTTGTACTCATTCATGGAATGTGAGCATTTATTGTCTCATCCCATGTTGCGCTTATAAAGGTTGTCACCTAGAACTGTCCATTTAGTATAGGTACACCCTCAATAGTATTAGAAAGAACATTCAACTATAGAACATAGAACATTACAGCGCAGTACAGGCCCTTCGGCCCTCAATGTTGCGCTGACCTGTGAAACCAATCTGAAGCCCATCTAACCTAAACTATTCCATTATCATCCATACTAAAGGAGTAAGAGAAGATCATTTAGCCTGTCAAGCTTGCCCCGCCATTCTACAAACTCATCTACCCAAGGCCTCGGCTCTTCATAGCCTGCAACTCTCAACATTTCAGAAATCTTCAGTGATCTAGCCGCCTCAACTTTATGGGGAGAAAAATTTCAGACATTCACGACCTACTGAGAGAAGAAATTCTCTCCTATCTCAGAAGTGCCAGTGTTTTAACTAAGCAACAGCAGAAGAGTAGCAATATATTTCCACACAAGAATGCTGAGGTGCTGGGTGGGGAACTTGCAGATGATTGCAGTCCCATGTATCTGCTGCCCTTGTGTCTCTAGATAGATGATTGAATTTCTGCAGCTCATCTTGTAGATGATACACACTGCAGTTAGTTGATGTTGGTGAAGGGAGTGGATGTTTGTGGTACTAACTAAGATGGCTATTTTGTCCTGAATGGTGTCAAGTTTCTTGTGTAGTTGGAACTGCACTCATCCCGATAAATGAGGAGTATTCCATCACACTCTTTTTACTCACACCTTGTAGATGGTGGACAGGCTTTGGGGAGTCAGGCAAGTTACTCCCCAGTATTCCTAGTCTCTGACCTCTTTTTGTAACTACAATATTTATATGGCTACATGAGTTCCGTTTCTGGTCAATGATAATCCCCAGGATGTTGATGGGATGAATTATAATTATTAGTAACTGTAAGCATGAAGTCCTTTTCTCTTGATAGTTTTGATTTTTTTAAAATTGGTAGCACCAATGTACTTTCAGCATGATATAACAAATGCTCCATACGGTGCTTAAACTATAAATATGTTGCTTAAACTTGCTTAGCCATTCCAATCATTTACCGTATTTCTTTTATACTATTTAAAGATTCCATTTTGAGGCCAATTTCAAAGATGGCAACTGATTCTAAGGGGAAGAGGAGGGGGTCGAGACAACCGAAATGTGCTTTCTGTAAACTCAATAAAGAGGAGCATTGTGGCCAGTTGTTAGTAGCCCAAAGCCAGAAGATGGCAGCACATCACAAATGTATGGTAAGTGAAGAGAAGCAGCAATCACTTGAAGGTCTGAAGCTATTAGCTAGGTTGACAATGATATTTTCTTCTTCAGATTCCTCTGCCCTCTTCACTTGAAGTTGGTAAATCCCAAATATTGTTGGTACTTGTGAGTCAGTGAGTGAATGAGTCTGGACAGGCAGGTGCTGATGGTATTTGGCCAAGATTTCATCTTATTCTTTCGAAAATTAACTTGGAATTGTTTGTATCAGTCCTTGGTGTGCGTAATTTTATCCCACTGCGCATCACATTTACCCATTTATCTGGATAGAAAACAAAAAAAAAATGTGGCTGTGCCCATGGAATCATCAATAATCATCGCTCTGTAATGAGTGATTTCTAACTATTACTTAGATTGGAAAATTCTGCTTTTCCACTCTCCAGGACCTTTGTTGTCCAAATGCTAAATAAATTCGTAATCCCCATGTAAAATTTGGAAAACCAGAAGAACTGCGGATGTTGCAAATTAGGGACAAAAACAGAAGTTGCTGGAAAAGCCCAGCAGGTCAGGCAGCATGTGTGAAGAAAAAAAAATCAGTGTTAACGTTTCGGGCCCAGTGACCCTTCCTCAAAGACCCAAAATGTTAACTCTGCATGTTTTTTCTTCACAGATGCTGCGAGACCTGCTAAGCTTTTCCAGCAACTTCCAAATTTTACAACAAAAGCAGAAGTTTTGTAGTGTGTAGCCATATACAATCAGTTGATCTTTTGAATTTGTGAAGTTTGTCCTGAAGAGTGCTGATATACTACTTTCTGTTTTCTTCCTATTTCTAGTTATTTTCATCTGCTCTAGTGACATCGCATTCTGAGAATGAGACTCTCGGAGGCTTCTTGCTTGAAGATATCAAGAAGGAAATAAAAAGGGGAAACAAGTTGGTATGTAGCTTTTGTAACTGCTCTTTGACATTTAGTGGCAGGAGGCAGCGGGTGATGTTGAAGATTGTTTTGTGATTGGAGCCTGTGTCCAGTGATGTGCCTTACGGTTTGTTGCTATGACCTTTGCCGTTGCGTGCATAAATGAATTTAGGAGGGTTGATCAGTATTTTTGCAGATGACACAAAAATAGTGAGGAAGAAAGCTTGGACCATGGGATAGTATAGACTGGCTGGCCAACTAAGCAACGTAATAGCAAAAGGAATTTAAAGTTGATAAATACGAGGTGATTCATTTTGGGAAGACTAACAGAGAAAGAGTACATGATTACTGGTAGGATCCTGGAAAGTACAGAAGATGGAGGGACTTTGTGCAGATCCGCAGATCTTCAGAGAGAACAGGACAGTGTAAAGAAGGCATAATGGATACTTGCCTTTATTAATGCAGGTTGAAGCATTGAAACAAACGCAAGAAAGTTATGATGGAGCTGTATATGAAAACATAGAAAACATAGAACAGTACAGCACAGTACAGGCCCTTTGGCCCACGATGTTGTGCCGACCTATTATCCAACTAAGGTCAATCTACCCTGCATTTTACTATCCTCCACATGCCTATCCAAGAGTTGTTTAAGTCTCTAAAGTATCTGACTCCACTACCACTGCCGGCAGCGCATTCCACACGCCCACCACTTTCTGTGTGAAGAGCCTACCTCTGACATCTCGCCTATACCTTCCTCTAGTCACCTTAAAATTATGCCCCCTCGTAATAGTCATTTCTGCCCTGGGAAAAAGTCTCTGGCTATCCACTCTATCTATGCTTCTCATCATCTTGTAAAACTCTTTCAAGTCACCTCTCATCCTTCTTTGCTCCAATGAAGAAAGCCCTAGCTCCCTCAACCTTTCCTCATAAGACCTGCCCTCTAGTCCAGGCAGCATCCTGGTAAATCTCCTCTGCACCCTCTCTAAAGCTTTCCTGTAATGAGGTAACCAGAACTGAACACAATATTCCAAGTGTGGTCTAACCAGAGTTTTATAGAGCTGCAGCATAACCTCACGGCTCTTAAACTCAATTCCCTGCCAATGAAAGCCAACATACCATACGCCTTCTTTACAACCCCATCAACTTGGGTCGCAATTTTGAGGGATCTGTGGATGTGGACCCCAAGATCCCTCTGTTCCTCCACACTGCCAAGAACCCTGCCATTAACCCTATATTCTGCATTCAAATTCAACCTTCCAAAATGAATCACTTCACACCTTTTGGGGTTGAATTCTATCTGCCACTTTGCCCAGCTCTGCATCCTGTCAATGTCCCGTTGCAACCTACAACAGCCCTCCATGCTGTCCACAACTCCTCCAACCTTTGTGTTATCGGCAAACTTACTAACCCACCCTTCCACTTCCTCATCCAAGTCTTTGATAAAGATCACAAAGAGCAGACGTCCCAGAACAGATCCCTGCGGAACACCACTGGGCACCGAGCTCCAGGTTGAATATTTTCCATCTACTACTACCCTCTGTCTTCCATTGGACAGCCAAGTTTCCCTGAATCCCATGCCTCCCTACTTTCTGAATGAGCCTACCATGTGGAACCTTATCAAATGCCTTGCTAAAATCCAGATACACCACATCCACTGCTCTACCCTAAACAGTGTTTTGTCACATCCTCAAAGAATTCAATAAGGCTTGTGAGGCATGACATGCCCCTCAAAGCCATGCTGACTATTTCTAATCAAACTGTGCTTTTCCAAATAATCATAAATACTATCTCTGAGTCCTCTCCAATAATATGCCCACTACAGAAGTAAGACTGACCGGTCTATAATTTCCAGGATTATCCCTATTCCCTTTCTTGAACAGGGGAATGACACTTGCCACCCTCCAGTCTTCTGGCACTACTCCAGTGGACAGTGAGAACGCAAAGATCATTGCCAAAGGGCAGCAATCTCTTCCCTTGCTTCCCATAGTAACCTTGGGTATATCCCATTTGGCCCAGGGGACTTATCTATCCTCATGTTTTCCAAAATTTATAGCACATCCTCCTTCCTAACAACAACCTGTTCAAGCATATCTGCCTGTTTCATGCTGTCCTCACAAACGTCAAGGTTCCTCTCATTGGTGAATACTGAAGCAAAGTATTCATTAAGGACCTCCTCTGGCTCAGCACACAAGTTCCCTCCACTGTCCCTGAGTGGCCCTACCCTCACTCTGGCCATCCTCTTGTTCCTCACATGAGTCTAGAAAGCCTTGGGGTTTTCCTTGATCCTACCCTCCAAGGTTCTCTCATACCCGCTTCTAGCTCTCCTAAGTCCATTCTTCAGTTCCTTCCTGGCTACCTTGTAGACCTCGAGAGCCCTGTCAGATCCTTGCTTCCTTCTTTCTCTTGACTAGATGTTCAATGTGTCTTATCATCCAAGGTTCCTTCACCTTACCATCCTTTCTTTGCCTCAGTGGGACAAACCTATCCAGTACCTGTAGCAACTGCTCGCTAAACAACCTCCACGTTTCTGTCGTGCATTTCCCTGAGAACATCTGATCCCAATTGGTGCTCCATAGTTCTTGCCTAATAGCATTGTAATTCCCCCTCCCCTAATTAAATACTTTCCCATACCCTCTGCTCCTATCCCTCTCCATGACTATAGTAAAGGTCAGGGAGTTGTGATCACTATCACCGAAATGCTCTCCCACCAAGAGATCTGACACCTGACCTGGTTCGTTGCCAAGCACCAAATTCAATATGGCCTCCCCTCTAGTTGACCTATCTACATATTGAGTCAGAAATCCTTTCTGGACAAACCTGACAAAATCTGCTCCATCCAGACTGTTTGCACTTAGCAGGATCCAGTCTATATTCGGAAAGTTGAAGTCGCCCATGACAACAACCCTATTACTTCTGCACCTTTCCAAAATCTGTCTCCCAATCTGTTCCTCAGTGTCTCTGTTGCTACTGGGAGGGTCAATAGAAAACTCCCAACAAAGTGACTGCGCCTTTCCTGTTTCTGTCTTCTACCCATACTGACTCAGTGCACAAACCCTCCGCCATGACCTCCCTTTCTGCAGCTGTGATACCAGCAAGGCCTCAAGAGCCATGATGTGGAGATGCCAATGTTGGACTAGAGTGGACAAAATCAGAAGTCACAGACACCAGGTTATAGTCCAACATTTACTTGAAATTCCAAGTTTTTGGAGCACCTAATGAATGTTGTGGGAACCATTACAATGTAGCTGCAAGGGGATCAGGAGTTAGAAAAGGCATGTAAGAAAGGCACTATTACAATAAACATAGGAGACGTGAGTATGCAAGTGCACTGGGAAATCAGGTTGCTAGCAGATCTCAAGAAAAGGAATTTGTTGAAATTTTAAGTTTTTTTTTTTGGGGCAGTTTGTGGTAGAGAGTCCCCTATAGAACAGGCGATTCTGGATTTCATGATCTGTAATGAGGTAGACCTGACTAGGGAGCTTAAGGTGAAGGGGGCAGTGGCCGTAATGTGATGGAATTCACTCTGGAGTTTGAGGGAGAAGCTAGAATCAGATGTAATGGTATTACAATTGAGTAAAGGTAACTACAAATAGAAGAGGGTGGAACTGGTCAGAGTTGATTGGAAGGGGAGCCTAGGAGACAGGGTGGTAGAGCAACAATGGCAGGAGTTTCTGGGGCTAATTTGTGGGGCACAGTAGAAATTAATCCCAAGGAAGGAGAAACGTATTACAAGGAGGATGAGGCAACCATGGCTGACAAGGGACATCAGGGACAGCATAAAAACAAAAGTAAAAACATATAACATGGTGAAGATAGTGGGAAGCCTTTCAAAACCAGCAGAGTATAACTAAAAAAGTAGTAAGCGGGGAGAAAATGAAATATTAGGGTAAGCTAGCTAGTAATTTTAAAGATTTTTTTTTTTAAGATGTCTGATAATGTAAGAGGCAAGAGTGGGCATTGGACTGCTGGAAAATGAGGCTGGAGAAGTAGTAATGGGCCACAAAGAAATTGTGGAGGAATTGAATAGATACTTTGCATCAGTTTTTATAGTGGGAAGACATCAGCATATCAACTCCTTGAGAGTCAGGAGGGAGAGGTGAGTATAGTGATGCTGGAGAGTCTGAAAGGTCTGAATGCGTCACCCAGACCAATAACTACATCCCAGTGTTCTGAAGGAGATAGCTGAGCAGATTGTGGAGGCATTATTGCTGATCTTTCAGGAATCCCGAGCCGGGGAGGGTTCCAGAGGACTTGAAAATGACTAATGTCACATCCCTGTTTAAAAAGTGGGGGAGTCGGAAGACTGGAAACTATTGGCTGGTTAGCCTGACCTTGGTCTTTGTTAAGATTTTGGAGTCCATTGTTAAGGATGAGATTGCAGAGTGCTTGGAAGTGCATGGTAAAATTGGATGCAGTCAGCGCAGCTTCATCAAGGGGAGGTCACACCTGACAAATCTGTTAGAATTCTTTTGAGGAGGTAACAACAAGTTAGACAGAGGAAAGCCAGTAGATGTGTATTTGGATTTCCAGAACGCCTTTGTCAAGGTGCCGCACAGGAGTTAAGAGCCCATGGTGTTAGGGGCAGGGTTCTGGCATGGATAAAGGATTGACTGACTGGCAGAAGCCAGAGATTAGGCATAAAGGGGTCTTTTTCAGAATGGTGACCAGTGTCTAGTGGAGTTCTGCAAGGGTCAGTGTTGGGACAATCTGGACAAAGGCGCTGATGGTATTGTTGCTAAGTTTGTCGATGGCACAAAGATAGGTGAAGGGACAGGTAGTTCTGTGAAGCTGGGAGGACATGTTGGAGAGTGGGCAAAGATGTAGCAGATGGAATACAGTATGGGAAAGTGTGAGATTATACGCTGGTAGGAAGAATAGAGACACAGACTATTTTCTAAATGGGGAAAGGCTTCTGACATCGGAAGCTCAGAGGGACTTGGGAGTCCTAGTTTGGAATTCTTTTAAAGTTCGATTCAGTTGACAGTCAGAAAGGCAAACGCAATGTTGACATTCTTTTTGAAGTGCCCAGAATACAAATGCCAACATGTACTACTGACACTGTATAAGGCATTTGTGATACCGCATTTGTAATATTGTGAGCAGTTTTGGGCCCCATATCTAAGGAAGGATGTGCACATGTTAGAGGGGGTCCAGAGGAAGTTTACAACAATGAACCCTGGGATGAAGGGCTTGTATATGAGCAGTGATTGAGGACTGTGGGTCTGTACTTGATGGAGTTTAGAAGGATGAGGAGGGATCTCATTGAAAATGCTGAACGACTAGATTAATCAACACTAGGAAAGGCAGGATTGATCAGGGATAGTTAACATGGATTTATAAAAGAGAGATCCTGTCTGATTAATTAAGTAGTTTTTTTGAAAAGGTGACTAAATGTACTGATGAGGTTAGTGCAATTTGCCTGGAACAAAGGTAGGAGCCCATTGGATCTAAGGCAAGTTGGCAACTGGATCCAAAATTGGCTTACAAATAAGAGGCACAGGGTGATGGTGGACGGTTGTTTTTGTGATTGGAAGCCTGTGACCAGCAGTATATTACAGGGTTAGGTGCTGGAATCCTTTCTGTTTATGTATATTGACAATTTGGATGTGAATGTTGAAGGTACAATTAGTAAGTGTAGATGACACAAAAATTAGGTTGTTGATTGATAGTGAGGAGGATGGACTCAGGCTGTAGCCTGATAGCGATCAGATGATAAATTGGGTGCAGCTATGGCAGATAAAATGTAATCTGTATAGGTGTGAGGTGATGCATTTTGGGAGGTCAGTTGAGGAAAGGATGTACAAGTGGTCATTCCCTCGGGATTACTGAGGAAAGTGGCCTTGCAGAACGAGTCCAAAGATCCTTGAAGGTGTCAGCACACTTAAACAGGGTGATGAAGAAGGCATATGGGATGCTGGCTTTCATTAGCAGCGAGGAAATCTTGTTCCAACACCATAAATCATTGGTTCAGCCACAGATGGAATACTTCATGCAGTTCTGGTTTCCACTCTATCAGAAGGATGAGGGTGCAGCAGAGATTCACCAGGATGTTACCCGGGAGTGAAAAGCGTCAGTTATGAGGAGAGACTGGATAGGGTGGGTTTATTTTCCTTGGAGCAGAGGAGGTTGAGGTGGGGGGAATTGGAGGTACACAAAATTATGAGAGCTATAGAATTGAAACCATCTGGTTCAGTAATGTCGTTTAGGGAAGGAAACTGCCATCCTTACCTGATCTGGCCTACGTGTGACTCCAGACCCACAGCATTGTGGTTGACTCATAATTGTCACTTGGGTGATTTATGGATGGTCAAAAAGTGCTGGCACAGGCAGCGACACCCTCATCCTATGAATGAAAAGAAAAATCGTGCTATGGTCCATTTGCTCATTTCCCCCTACAGCCTCTGCTCTTGTCCACACCGGCATCAAGAATCTCAAACCTGTCAGACAAGCTCAAGAGTTGCGGCTCCTCGAGCACTACCTCCTGGATCCATCTACCTAGCTTGCTCGTAGCCATACCCTCCTGTCTCTAACCATTGACTGAATTTGAGGTTGTTAATCTAAGGGGTGGGACTGCCTTCTGAAACACAGCGTTCAGGTAACTCTCCCTCTTCCCTGATGTGTCACCATGTTTGAAGCTCAGGCTCCAGCTCATCAACTCTGAGCTGCAGCAAAACAACACCTTCACTGAATCTCAAAATATATGACAACAACAAATCAGACCGAAGCAAAAGCTGTGGCCTTTATGAACCACAGTAAGGCCCACTAGCTCTCACATCATGCAGATACAACATATTGCCTGGTCCTGCATTTCATTAGCTTCTCAAAGGAGAGCAAAATGCAGAATTACAGACCCGTCAGCCTAGCATCAGTAGCAGGAAATATACTAGAGTATTATAAAAGATGTGATATGAGAACATATGATTGGTGAGTCCAGAATGCAGGGTAAGTCATTTAGAACTGAGATGAGGAAACTTGCCACAATAGAAGGATGTGGGGCTAGATCATTGTATGTATTCAAAAAAAGAGGTTGAGGCATCAAGTGGTATGGAGATAAAGCAGGAATATGGGTTTGACAGAGAACATCAGTTGTCATGTTGAATATTGGAGCAGATTTGAAGGGTGGAACTGCCTGATCTTGCTCCTAGTTTGTTTCTGCAGGCTCCCCTTTATTCACAGTACATAGTACAGGATTGGGCAGAATGATTGCAGGGAGGATGTTTCTCCTGATTGGTGCCGCAACTCTTGAGCTTGTCTGACAGGTTTGAGATTCGTGATGCCTGTGTGGACAAGAGCAGAGGCTGTAGGGGGGAATGAGCAAATGGACCATAGCACGATTTTTCTTTTCATTCATAGGATGAGGGTGTCGCTGCCTGTGTCAGCACTTTTTGACCATCCATAAATCACTCAGACGGCAATTATGAGCTAGGGAAACTATGGAATTCACAGAATTCCACAGAAGGCTGCGAACACCAAGATACTAAATATATTCAAGAAAGTGTGTTTTGGAGTATCAAGGTATTCATGGAGTAAGGGGTGAAAATGCAAATATAGTATTGAGATAGAGCATCAGCATTGGTCATGTTGAATGATAGAGCAGACTTAAAGGGCCAAATGACCTTCTGCTCCTAGTTTCTATGTTTCAGCATTTTGTTTTATAATTAACAGGTTATTCTGAGATCACTGAAGAAACCTGATGGAAGTCTCTTTTGTTCTGGATAGCAGTACAAAGGGAAACTATTGGCCATTTGGTGATCAGATTAAATCCATACGTTGTTACTTTCAATTGAACAGTCAGTTAGTTGCACGTTAAAAAGTGTCTTTCCTTCCACAGAGCTGCTCTTGCTGTCACCGCCCAGGAGCAACTATTGGATGTGATGTGAAAACTTGTCGGAGAACATATCATTATTATTGTGCAAAGCTTGATAAAGCCCAGATCAAGGAAGATGCATCACAGGGCATATATCTGTATGTACAGCCCATTGCTAGTTCTTATTTGAGATTTGTTTCTTGGGCCATTCTCTCCTGATTCAATGAGTTGAAGTGTTGATCTGTACTTTTTAAAATCCTTTTCTTGACAGGATCCTCTGTCAGAAGCACAAAGAAGGTGCCGAGGATTCCAGTGAAGGTAATTAATATGCAGGAATTCAGTCCAATTCATTGCATTTGACAACTGCTAAATAATTTTCTTTTCATTTGTTACATCTTCTGTGTGGTTTTGTACTACCAGTTGTCTGGGCTGGGCAGTGTTGTTGACATCTGTGCGTGTGCTGTTTATCTGACATCTGTGCGTGTGCTGTTTATCTGGCACTTGATGTAACAAAGGGCCGTCTTTTTTTTACAGGGCAAGAATGACTGTAGTGGCTTCCACTTATTAGTAGCATTAGTACACTACCTCAAATGAGTGTGAAATTCCTTTGCTGAAAGGGTCAAATCTGAAGATGCAGTACTTCCTGCTAATTGCACCTTTCACTGTCTAACTATTGGCTACAGTAATATGGAGTTTTGAATTTTTTGGAGATATTTTGAGTAAGGGAGCCTCATAGATGGAAGCACAAAAGTTTAACTGACTTACCAGTTTCTAAGCTTTTAGAGTAGATTTGTAGCTCGGGTTGTGGATGTTGTGGTTGGTTGGCTCACCGTGACTCATGACTTACCAGTTCACGAAGCTCCCAATGTTCAGGACAATTGAATGACTGAGTCTGTAGAGAAGGCTTTAAACTAAATGTTGGCCACGGATGGGGATTGGTGTGAAGGATTTTTTAGAAAGTCAAAGAAAAAGAACATAAGATTGCAGGTGAATGATATGGTAATATTAAACATCGTGTGGTACAAAGAAACAGAATATATAAACAGTGCACCAGCAACAGGTTAAATGTAGGAGAAATGATAAACAGAATAAAAGGTTCTTTCTCTGAATACATGCATCATTCCTAACAAAATAGATGAATTGATTGCTCCAACATACATAAATCCTGTGTAGGTCCATATAGGTAGCAGTAGCATAGGCAGTGCAGATGTAGTTCTGCATAGACATTAGGAGGGACTGGGCACCAAATTAAGAATCAGGACTTATTACCTGAACCATATGCAAATTGGCAGAAAGCAATTCTGATTAGAGAAATGAATGTGTGGCTCAGGATAGATTGAAGAAGTTGGGACTGTTCTTCTTGGAGTCAAAAAGGCTGAATGAAATTTGGTAGAAGGTTTCAAAATCCAGGAGCAGACTGGACGGAGTAGAAAGGTAGAAACTGTTACCACTCATAAAAGAAATGAGCAAGAGGGCATGGATTTAAAGTGATTTGAAAATGAAGCAAGGATAATATAAGAAAAAACTATTTCACAGTGAGTATTTTGGGTATATGGTGGAGGCAGTTGAGGTATTCGAGTATTGGACTTTTTTGGTTAGAAATGGTGTGTATGGGTGTGGGGGAAAGGTAGGAGATGAGTGCATAGTGCCTGGAGAGAGAGAGAGAGAGCACTTTTTGTGGTTGTAATCTGCTAGGAATAGAAAGCAGGAGTGAGTGACCTGATTCTGGTAACTTGTGGATTAGGTTGTGAAGTCAGTTCCTGGATTGTTTGTAGTTGAGGTTCACAATGCCAGGAGGACTTGGCCCCATGAAATGCTCCTCCTGTGGGAAATCAGGGACACTTCCAGTCTTCATGGTGACTATGTTTACAGGAAGTGTGTTCAGCTGCAGCTCCTGATTGACCGCATGGAGAGCCAGGAGCTGCAATAGGAATCACTATAGAACATAGAACATTACAGCGCAGTACAGGCCCTTCAGCCCTCGATGTTGCGCCGACGTGTGAAACCAATCTGAAGCCCATCTAACCTACACTATTCCATTATCATCCATATGTTTATCCAACGACCATTTAAATGCCCTTAAAGTTGGCGAGTCCACTACTGTTGCAGGCAGGGCATTCCACGCCCTTACTACTCTCTGAATAAAGAATCTACCTCTGACATCTGTCCTATATCTATCACTAAAGCTATGTCCCCTCGTGCTAGCCAGCACCATCTGAGGAAAAAGGCTTCCACTGTCCACCCTATCTAATCCTCTGATCATCTTGTATGTCTCTATTAAGTCACCTCTTAACCTTCTTCTCTCGAACGAAAACAGCCTCAAGTCCCTCAGCCTTTCCTCATAAGACCTTCCCTCCATACGAGGCAACATCCTGGTAAATCTCCTCTGCACCCTTTCCAGTGCTTCCACATCCTTCCTATAATGCGGTGACCAGAACTGTACGCAATACTCCAAGTGTGGCCGCACCAGAGTTTTGTACAGCTGCAAGTGGACCTCATGGCTCCGAAACTCAATCCCTCTACCAATAAAACCTAACACACCGTACGCCTTCTTAACAACCCTGTAACCTGCAACATCCTTCCGCACTATCCACAACTCCACCGACTTTGGTGTCATCCGCAAATTTACTAACCCATCCTTCTACGCCCTCATCCAGGTCATTTATAAAAATGACAAACAGCAGTGGCCCCAAAACAGATCCTTGCGGTACACCACTAGTAACTGAACTCCAGGATGAACATTTCCCATCAACTACCACCCTCTGTCTTCTTACAGCTAGCCAATTTCTGATACAAACCGCTAAATCACCCTCAATCCCATGCCTCCGTATTTTCTGCAATAGCTTACCGTGAGCAACCTTATCAAACACTTCACTGAAATCCATATACACCACACCAACCGCTTTACCCTCATCCACCTGTTTGGTCACCTTCTCAAAGAACTCAATAAGGTTTGTGAGGCACGACCTACCTTTCACAAAATCGTGTTGACTATTCCTAATCAAATTATTCCTTTCTAGATGATTATAAATCCTATCTCTTATAAACCTTTTCAACACCTTACCCCCAACCGAAGTAAGGCTCACTGGTCTATAATTACCAGGGTTGTCTCTACTCCCCTTCTTGAACAAGGGGACAACATTTGCTATCCTCCAGTCTTCTGGCACTATTCCTGTAGAAATGACATAAAAGTCAAAGCCAAAGGCTATGCAATCTCCTGTCTAGCTTCCCAGAGAATCCTAGGATAAATCCCATCCGGCCCAGGGGACTTATCTATTTTCACACTTTCCAGAATTGCTAACACCTCCTTATGAACCTCAATCCCGTCTAGTCTAATAGCCTGTATCTCAGTATTCTCCTCGACAACATTGTCTTTTTCCTGTGTGAATACTGACAAAAAATATTCATTTAGCACCTCTCCTATCTCTTCGGACTCCACGCACAACTTCCCACTACTGTCCTTGACTGGCCCTAATCTTACTCTAGTCATTCTTTTATTCCTGACATACCTATAGAAAGCTTTAGGGTTTTCCTTGATCCTACCTGCTAAAGACTTCTCATGTCCCCTCCTGGCTCTTCTTAGCTCTCTCTTTAGGTCCTTCCTGGCTAACTTGTAACTCTCAAGCGCCCTAACGGAGCCTTCACGCCTCATCTCTACATAAGCCTCCTTCTTCCTCTTGACAAGAGATTCAACCTCTTTAGTAAACCACGATTCCCTGGCTCGACCACTTCCTCCCTGCCTGACAGGTACATACTTATCAAGGACATGCAGTAGCTGTTCCTTGAAGCATCCATGGAGCATCCATGATTCTGAGAATGTCGTGGATAGCACGTTTGGTGAACAGGTCGTACCACCAGTAAGGGCTACACAAACAAAAGACAACCAGGAACACACGAGTCCCCTGTGACAATTTCCCCCTTAAACAGGAATGCCAAATTGAATACTGTAGAGGGAGAATGGCCTCTCAAGGGAAAGCAGCAGCCAGGTCAGTGGCACCACAGCTGGTGCCATTGTGCAGCAGGGTGGGTTGAAGTGTAGGCAAGCAGTAGAGATGGGGAATTCTATAGCTAGGGGCACAGTGGTGTTTCTGTGGTCAGGTGCTAGACTCCAGGATGGTGTGTTGCCTCCCTGTTCCCAGGGTCTAGGATGTCTTAGTAGGTACAGGATATTCTGAAGGTTGTGGTCTATATTGGTACTAATGACAGGCAGAAAGAAAGATGAGGTCCTAGGAAGGGAATTCGATGGAAGTTGAAAAGCAAAACCTCTAGGGCTGTAATCTTGGAATGACTTTGTGTCATGTGCTGGTGAGGCTAGGAATAGGAAGTAATACAGTTAAATATGTGGCTAAAGAGCTGGTGTAGGAGGGAGAGCTTCAGGTATTTGGATCATTGGGATGTCTTCTGGGGCCAGTGGGACCTGTACAAGACGGACTAGAAGGACGGGTTGCATCTAAGTTGGAAGGGCACCAATATCTGGGCAGGGAGTTTTGCTAGTGTCACTCAGGGCAGTTTACACTAGTGTGGCAGCAGGGTGGGAACCAGAGTAATGGGTCAGCAAGTAAAATGAATGAGGAGGAGTCAGAGGCTAAGGCCAGTAAGGCTGAAAGGAAGAAAAGACGGAGAGCTTACTGAACGCAATGGGACTAATGGTCTGAGGTGTATGTGTTTTCATGCGAGGAATGTGACCGGTGATGTGGATGAGCTTGAATTAGGACATATAACTATGATGTTGTAGCTATTACAGAGACTTGTTGAGGGAGGACCAAGACTGACGGCTTAACGTTCCAGGATTTAAATACTTCAGACAAGATAGAGAGGTTGGGGGGGAATTACATTCTTGCTAAGGAAGAATATCATAGCTCTACTGAGGGAGGGCACCTTGAAGGGCTCGTCCAGCGAGGTCATGTGGATAGAGCTCAGCAATAGTAAGGGTGCAACCACTTTGGAAGGGGTTGAGCTAGTCAGTGGGAGCCAAAGGAACAGATATGTGTACGGGTTATGGAAAAATGTGAAACCAGCAGGGTGTTGCAGTTGGTGATTTATAATTTCCTCCATATTGATTGGAACTCGCTTAGTGCCAGGGGCTTTGTTGGGGTGGTGAGGGATTTGTTAGGTGTGTCCTGGACGTTAATGTGTAAATAGTCCAATGAGGAAATAGCCAGACTCGACCTGGTGTTGGGAAAGGAGCCTGGCCAGGTGATCGAAGGTTCAGTGGGAGAACATTTTGGGAATAGTAACCATAATTTGGTAAGTTTTAAGGCACTTCTAGATAAGGACAAGAGTAGTCCTTGGCTGAAATAATTAAATTTGGGGAAGGCTAACTACCTAGATACCAGGCAAGACCTGGGGAGTGTAGATTAGGGTGGATGTTTAAGGGTAAAACCCATAATCTGCCATGTGGGAATCTTTTAAAGACAAGTGAAGAATAAGGATGGCAAGATTTGGGAAGCTTGGATAACAAAATAAATTTGAAAGCTTAGTCAAAAACAAAAAGGAAGCATATGCAAGATTGGCTTGATGGTGGGAGACAGAGGATTGTTTTTCGGACAGGAGGCCTGTGACCAGCAGTGTTCTGCAGGGATTGGTGCCAACGTGGCTGAAAGACCAGATGATGGTTGAACAGAGGGAGGAGCTGAAGAGTTTGAACTGGGGTTTTGGGCTGTTTCTGATAGGGGTTTGGCTGTTGATGTTGCAGCATGAAGCTTCCTACCAACTTCTGATTATCAGCTGTTGGAAACTTAGTTTCTATTCTTTAAGTTAGAAGTATCACTGGTTTCCTTAGTGAGCTGAGAAGTTGGCCCTGACTGTCTTCAGAAAATCAACCAAGAAACAATCGTGTATGCCCGTGCAACAACACATTGTCCAAATTGCTTAAATAATCTAGCCAGTTTTATTCTCTTTTTATCCCTTAACTCTGTTTTGTGTGATTGGGGGCTGAAAACAAAGGTTTTGGGGCTGAAATCATAGACATCAATTAGATTGTTGTTTAATTTTGCTCTGCTAAAGTTACTAAGTCTTTTCTTTAAGCTACAGAACTAGTGGCTAGAATTGATTATTCAGAGTCTGTAGTTATTTAGAAAGTCTAATTAGGAACCATTGGAATCCCATTTGATGGTCTTTGAAGGGTTTAAATATGCTGTGTCACAAATACAGTCGTAGGAAGGCTCATTTGATTTGGCTGTCTCTCAGCATTGTAACAATAATAGTTTTTAAGGTGGCACAGTGGCTCAGTGGTTACCGCTGCTGCTTCACAGTGCTAGGGACCCAGTTGGTTCCAGCCTTGAGTGACTGTGCAAACTCCACACAGACATTCTCCCTGTGTCTGTGTGGGTTTCCTCTGGGTGCTCTGGTTTCCCCTCTAAATCCAAAGATGTGCAGGTTAGGGATTTGGCCATGGTAAATTGCCCCTTAGTGTCCAAGGATATGCGGGATAGTTGGGTTAGCCATAGTAAATGTAGAGTTACACGGATAGGGTTGGGGACTGGGTCTGGGTGGGATGCTCTTTGGAGGGTTGGTGCAGACCCGATGAGCTGAATGGCCTCTGTCCACACTGTAGAATTTTTACGAAATATTTTAGAAAGAGTCAACAAAGTGAGCATTGGTCCAATAGAACGTGAGACTGGAGAATCAATGGAAAATGTGGACGGAAACAAAGCTAAGACGGCAGATGCTAGAAAACTGAAACAACATGTTGAAGACTGCTGAATTCCTGTAGAATTGTGTTGTGGAAAATATGGAGATAGATGAATTGAACAATTTTTTTACATCAGTTTTCACTAAAGATTGGAGAGGCCATGGCCTAGTGGTATTAGCACTGGACTGTTAATCCAGAGACCCAGATAATGTTCTGGAGACCTGGGTTCGAATCCTGCCAAGGCAGATGGTGGAATTTGAATTCAATAAATATCTAGAATTAAGAGTCTAATGATCGTGAATCCGTTGTCGAATGTCAGAAAAACCTACCTGTTTCAATAATGTCCTTTAGGGAAAGATACTACCATCCTTACCTGGTCTGGCCTACATATGGCGGCATGGTGGCTCAGTGGTTAGCACTGCTGCCTCACAGCGCCAGGGACCGGGGTTCGATTCCACCCTCGGGCGACTGTCTGTGTGGAGTTTGCACATTCTCCCTGTGTCTGCGTGGTTTTCCTCCGGGTGCTCCGGTTTCCTCCCACAGTCCAAAGATGTGCCGGTTAGGTGGATTGGCCAAGTTAAACTGCCTGTAGTGTTCAGCAATGTGTAGCTTAGGGAGATGGGTCTGGGTGGGAAGCTGCAAGGGTCATGTGGACTTGTCGGGCTGAAGGGCCTGTTTCCACACTGTAGGGATTCTATGATTTTATGTGACTCCAGACCCACTTACGCAATGTGGTTGGCTCTTAATTTTCCTCTTGAGTAGTTAGGGATGGACAATAAATGCTGCCCGGCCAGCAACGCGCTCGTCCCGTGAATGAATCTTAAAAATATAAAAAAGATATAAGTAACATCACAAGCGTGGAACAGACCAACCTAAAAGGAAAAGGGTGCAAGGATACAGAATAAGTTTCACATGTTAAAGGTTTAGAAGACTAAATTGTTTTTAAGACGCTGAACTAATCGCTGACAAAATCAGAAATTGCTGAAAAAACTCAGCAGATCTGAGCATCTTTGGAAAGAAAGCAGAGTTAACATTGCTGGTGACCCTTGTCCACAACTGATTATGGTTGGGAAAAGGTTGGTATATGTGCTAGAGAAGGGGTGGGGCTGGGGAATGGAGGAGGAAGAGTAAATGATTGGTGGAGATGGAGCCCAGAGAGAGGGGGAAAACAGTGGCACAGACAGAGGAATGGGTAAAGGTCAGCCTGGGAGAATGAATAGCTGCTAATGGGCACCATTAGTGGCTGAGCTAATCGTTATGTTCTGATGGTGTTGCCTACAGATGGATTTCAAGGAAACCTGAGTGAGCGTTCCACAGGTCCTCGCAAAGGCACTCCGAGAGCACACAGAGAAAAACGGAGAGCTCCAAACTCGAAAGATGAGTCAGATGATGCTCTGTCCACATCCTCTCAAGGGAAAGATGAAACCAGTTGCAGTTCTTACGTGAGTAATGGAATAATATTGAAAAAGTTGTTTTGCTTTTCCCTCCCTATTTTCTCTTCCTTACAATTATTTAAAGATGTCCAGTTTCATTTGGAGTCATTCATTTTCTCAATTTTCAGAATCCTTGCTGCATAAAAAAGTTCCACCCCTCATTCCCCTGCATCTCTTGCCCAATCTGCAATTGAGTCCTTACTCCTGTATAAGACCATAAGACATAGGAGCAAAAATTAGGCCATTCAGCCCATTGAGTCTGCTCCACCATTCAATCATGGCTGATAAGTTTCTCAACCCCATTGTCCGGCTTTCTCCCTATAACACTTGACAATCAAGAACCTATCTATCTCTGTCTTAAGTATACTCAATGAACTGGCCTCCACAGCCTTCTGGGGCAGTGAGTTCCTTAGATTCACCACTGTCTGGCTGAAGAAGTTTCTCCTTCTCTCCGTTCTAAAAGGTCTTCCCTTTACTCTAAGGCTGTGCCTTGGGTCTAGTCTCTCCTACCACTGGAAACATTTTCCCAACATCCGCTCTGTCCAGGCCATTCAGTAATCTGGAAGCTTTGATTAGATAGAACATAGAACATTACAGCGCAGTACAGGCCCTTCGACCCTCGATGTTGCGCTGACCTGTGAAACCAGTCTGAAGCCCATCTAACCTTAACTATTCCATTATCATCCATATGTTTATCCAATGACCATTTAAATGCCCTTAAAGTGGGCGAGTCTACTACTTTTGCAGGCAGAGCATTCCACGCCCTAACTACTCCCCCCTCATCTTTCTGAACTCCATCGAGTATAGACCGAGTCCTCAAACATTCCTCATACGCCAGTACATCCTTCCTTAGATATGAGGCCCAAAACTGCCACAATACCCCAAATGTGGCCTGACCATAGCCTTATATTATAGAGCCTCAGGAGTACATCCCTGTTTTTATATTCAAACACTCTCAAAATAAATGCCAGCATTGCATTGCCTTCCTAACTACCGACTCAACCTGCGAGTTTGCCATGAGAGAATCCTGGAATAGAACTCCCAAGCCTGTTTGCATTTCAGATTTCTGAATTTTCTCTCGGTTTAGAAAATAGTCTGTCTCTATTCTTCTTACCAACGTGCATGACCTCACACTTTCCCACATTGTACTCAGCTCATGGGAACAATTTTTCTTTGTCTTCTCTAAAACTCATAACCTTGTGCACTTCAAATCTCACTTCAATCTCTTGTTACAAGGAAAACAATCCCAGCTTCTCCATTCTGTCCACATAGCTGACAGATATCATTCTTAGGTCTATTCTTCTAATCTCCTCTGCATTGTCTTAAGAACCTGTTCACTTTGAACTGGAGGAGTTTCTTGAGGACAGTTTTTTGTGACCCTTTTTGATTTATTTATAACCTAGACTTTGGTTTATGGGAAGCAATTTTTAAGTCTTCAAATAATGCAAAACTTGGAAGCATTGTGAATTTCAAGGAGGATAAAAGGACATATAGGATACTTATAAAGTTTCAGGCAGCAAGGTGGTTCAGTGGTTACCACTGCCTCACAGCACCAGGGACTTAGGTTTGATTCCAGCCTTGGGTGACTGTCTTTGT